ATTTCCAAACCATTTAGCAATGGGAAGTGGCTTTGTCATCATGTTAGTAGGATTCTCCTTGGTATCAACCTTACTCACTTCAATGTCACCACAAGCAATTACTTCACGCACAAAATGATACATCACATCAATGTGTTTAGTCCTCTCATGGAACATCTCATCCTTAGTCAGAAATATAGTACTCTGGTTCTCACAATACACTGTAGATATCTGCAAGTTTTCACTGATTTCACCAATTAATCATCTCAGCCACATAGCCTTCTTACAAGTTTCAGTAATGGCCATATACTCTGTCTCTGTTGTAGACAAAGCTACTGTATTTTGTAAAGTAGCTTTCCAGCTGATAGCACAGCCTCCAAAGGTAAACACATAACCTATGAGTGATCTCATTTTGTCAAGATCTCTTGCATAATCTAAATCCACATATCCGATGACTCCTTCTGAATTTCTTCCAAAATGCAAGCAAGCATTTGTAGAGCCTTTCAAGTATTTGAGGATCCACTCTACTGCTTTCCAATGTTCCTTTTCAGGATTTGCCATGTATCTGTTAACTGCACTGACTGCATGTGCTAAATCAGGTCTTGTACAAACCATAGTATACATCAGCGAACCAACTGCACTGTAATAAGGAACCCTAAACATATATTCAATGTCTTCATCTGATTGCGCACACAAGTCTGTTGATAATTTGAAATGTGCAACCAAGGGTGTACTAACAGCCTTTGCATTCTGCATATTAAATCTCTAAAGTACCTTCTCAATGTACCCTTTCTGACTTAAGTATAATCTGCCAGACTTTTTATCCCCCAAGATTTCCATTCCAAGGATTTTCTTTGCTACTTCCAAATCCTTCATTTCAAACTCTTTACTCAGCTAAGACTTCACTTTTTTGACCTCAGCTTTATCTTTAGCTGCTATAAGCATATCATCAACATACAACAGCAACTATGAAACCAATCCACTACTTTCCTTCCTGGAGTACACACAACTATCATAGTTATACCTTTCAAAACCATAAGTAGTCATGAATGAATCGAACCGCTTATACCACTGCCTCGGTGACTACTTCAGTCCAAACAAGGACTTCTTTAACAAGCAAACATAGTCTTCTTTTCCAGAGACTATAATCCTTTCTAGCTGTTGCATGTAGATGCTCTAACGTCTATCTGTTCAAGCTCCAAATCATTCTTTGCTACAATCCCAAGTAAGGCCCGAATTGAACTGTACTTTACAATTGGGGAGAACACATCTGTAAAGTCAACACCTGGAATCTGACTGTAACCTTTTGCTACCAATTTAGCCTTAAACCTGGTATCTTCAATCCCTGATATCTTCAATCCCTGATGTCCCTTCTTTCTTTTTAAACACCCACTTACAGCGAACAACCCTTTTGTCCTTAGGTAATTTCACAAAGTCCCAAGTGCTGTTTTTATCAAAAGACTCCATCTCCTCCTGCATTGCAATCAACCATTTGCCAAGATCACTGCAACTGATTGACTCTGTATATGTAGCAGGTTCCTGAATAGAATCAATATCTTCAACCACACTCAAAGCATAAGCAACCAAATCTGCCTCTCCATATCTCTGTAAAGGTTTAATTTGTCTACGAGGTCTGTATCTTGCAATCGAATACTGTGGTGCTGGTGCTAGTGCTGGTGTAGACAAGGTAGACAAAGTCTTACTGTCTGTCTCCTCTGAACTAGACTGCTCTGTAACCTCTGACTGTTCCCCGGGGCAAATTTCAAACTCCACCTAAGTTGAATAACTCTATTATCCAGATTTACCAGAATCCACAAGAGGTCTTCCACGAATCATAGCAAGTTCGTTAAACACTACATCCCTACTAGTCACCACTTTTTTTTTCTTTTTTTGGTCACCACAACTTATAACCATTCACTCCGGATTTATATCCAAGAAAGATGCACTTTCGAGACCTAGGCTCCAATTTCCCATTATTTACATGAGCATACGCAGGACAACTAAAGATCTTCAAATCAGTGTAACGAGAGGGTTTACCACACCATACCTCTTCTCGGGTTTTATTTTCAATGGCCGTTGAGGGTGAGCGATTGATCAGAAAACATGTTGTAGTAGCAGCTTCAGCCTAAAAAGACATAGACAACCCAGAATTTGAAAGCATACAACAAACCTTTTCCATCAAAGTTCTATTCATCCATTCAGCCATGTCATTTTGTTGAGGAGTTTCGAGCATTGTCAAGTGTCTCAAGATGCCTTCAGCCCTGCAGAAGCTATTGAATTCATCTGAATACAACTCCAACCCATTATCAATGCGGAGATGTTTCGCCTGCTTTTCATTTTACTTTTCTACCAATGTTTTCCACACTTTAAAGGTTCCAAACATATCACTCTTTTGCTTCAAGAAGAATACCTAAACTTTTATGAAGTAATCATTAATTACTGTGATCAAGTAATATGCACCTTCCCTTAAAGGCACTCTGGCCGGCCCCGAGAGATCTGAATGGATATACTCAAGTGTTCCCTTTATGTCATGTCTTCCCTTAGAAAATTTGACCTTTTTCTATTTTTAAAAAAACATTGTGCTCACAAAATTCGGTCTTACTGGTCTTCTACCCATCAAGAAGCCCTTTTCTACTCAACCCTGTCATTCTTTTTTCACTCATATGCCCAAACTGCATATGCCAAAGTTTGTCACTTCATCCTCAATCAAAGGCGGAGTAGAAACTGTTGTGTTCCCTGTAGCAGTGAAAACTTGCAAAATATACAGTTGTGTAGAATTCTTATGTCCCTTCATGACAACGAGAGCACCCAAGTTCACCTTTTGAACTCCACCTTCACCAATATACTTATAACCCTTTGAGTATAGAGAACTCAAAGATATAAGGTTCCACTTCAGTTCTGGAACATGCCTAACATCTGTAAGTGTTCTGACAATCCCATCGAACATCTTGATCCTGATAGAATCAATTCCAGTAACTTTGCAAGGGGCATTGTTTCCCATAATCACTGTACCTCTCGAAACTCCTTCATATATAGTGAACCAGTCCCTATTTGGACACATATAGAAGGTACATGCCAAATCATTCCTCATAAGGTTTGGATCCCATATTAGAGATCACAAGAAGCTCTCCTTCGCTTTATTCGTTTTCCACAATGTCAGCCTCTGCTAAATCAATAGGGCATTTTCCTTTATCATTGGCACCCGCAGCTTTGTTTCTGTTTTTCAAGGCATAGCAGTCAGCTCTTATATGCTCCTTCTTCTTATAATAATGACATGTCTTCGCTGCATGCCTAGACTTCGACCTGCCCCTCATATTTTTACCAAGCTTCCTATCTTGACTTCTCCCATGAACAATCAGACCCTCAGCCCGACTCTCAGATTCTTCAACAAGATGCCTCATCTTCTCCTTAGACAATAGGGCATCATAGACCTCCTCTACCATGAGAGTATCATGACTATAGAGAATAGAATCTCTAAAAGTCACATATGATGCGGCAATGAATGCAACAACATCAACACAAAATCCTTCTCGTCATACTTAACCTCTAAAGTTTCCAAATCGGCCACAATTTCTTTGAATAAGGTTAAGTGATCATCCAATGACCCACCTTCAGACATCCTACGAGAATACAAGCGCTGTTTTAAGTGTAACTTGTTGGTTAAGCTCTTTGTCTTGCAAAGCTGCTCCAACTTCAACCACAACGTAGCAGCACTTCTCTCCTTTAGAACATCCTGGAGAATTTGATTTGAAAGATGAAGATGAATCTGAGTCAGGGCTTTCTGTTCGCAAAATTATTTTCTTTCGATTTAAAACCCACCACAAGTGTACGGTTCGTTAACAAGTAGTAAAGTGGACTATGAGTCCAAGTATCGTTCCCACGAGGATTAAATTAGCTCTAATTAAACTAATGTGACCTTAACCGAATCTAATTGAATGAAAATTTGGTTTAAATATGAAAACCCTAATTTTGGGAGAAATCCCCAATTCGAAACCCTAATTGCAAAATTGGAAACCCTAATTTCAAAATTTCACTAATCTAATGAAATAAATACGCAACTGAAATGTAAATACGCAATTTTTGAATTATTGTATTGAAATGAATTGAAATGAAATCATTAAGAACTTGAATCCCCAATTGATTATTAAAAACCCTAATTTCACAAATTCAACGAATCGATGAACAAAATGCCAATTCAATGTTCCTAAATTATCCAATATACTCTCTCGATATATATTGAATCTATTCTTACACATCACCAGCCTATATTTCTATGGATGATGCAATGTATAGGAATGCATGACTTTTTATGAACATTTTCATGAATTGCATAAAGCATAGAGGTAAGTTTCCATCCCCTATCGAACCCTATGTCGATTTATATTCTATCGAATTTATTCCCCTTCTTTCGAATGCAAAGAATAAATCATCTACAATCACATAATAATTGGCCAAATAATTATGGAAACATTCAACTCATATAAATCAAGCATTTGTCCAATCGAAATTAATATTGAATTTATGAAATAACGAGAATTTAAATCATCAAAAGGTTCATCAAATTCCTAATGAATAAAAAACCTAGATCTAAAACAGAAGAGAACATGGCAAGCAAGCTGACCAAAGAATTATAATCTGAACTCCGTTGTGTATCACCAGAGCGCTGAAGGGTCGTTTCTTGATTAAGTCCCCATCCACTTAAAATCGCACCTTTTTTCAATGCCTCAACAATAAAGTCTAATTGTTTTTCTCGAAAAAGATCACAACGTTTGGAAGATGCTCTAACAGAATTTACCACATTCCCAACCACACGAAAGAAGTTAGTAATAGGGATGTTCTTCTTTGTCACAGCCACAAGTGCAAGTTAGAGTTGATGAACAAAACAGTGAATGTCAAAGGCACATGGACTCTCCTTCAAAATGAGTGTTTTCAGACCATTAAAATTACCTTGCATATTACTTGCTCCATCATAATCTTGTCCTCTCAATCTAGACATACTCAAGTTATATCTAGAAAATACCTTAATCAATTGCAGCCTTAAGTGATAGAGCCGTGGTGCTTGTAACATGTTCAATCCCTATGAAGTGTTCATTGACATGCCCACTATTGTCTACATAACGTAAAACAATAGACATTTGCTCCTTCATTGACACATCACAAGATTCATCAACTAGAATAGAAAATAGTGAGTCGCCAACATCTTTGATAATAACATTGATCGTTTCAATAGCACAAGCATTTACTATATCCTTTTGAACATCAGGTGATGTCAATTTGCAATTGTGAGGAGCATTTCCCAATGTGACGGCATTGATAACTTCATTATGAGAGGCTAAAAAATTGTAATTGCACTAAGAATTTACCTGGATTGAGAGAATCCTCAGATTCATCATGACCTCGAAATGAGTGCCCTTATCACAAAAGAACTCAAACACAATCAATGGATGCATTAAGGCGTGTAACATATGCATTTCTTGCTTTTTCTGACTGTTTGTAGAAAACTGATTGAATATGTTGCTCTTGATTCATCAACACTTCACATTTAATGCGAGCTTGATTATGTGCACTATCATGAAGTCCAACATGAGTATGAAGCCTTTTTTTATCTTTCCAATATGTAAAACCTTCGCCACCAAAAGACTCACCTCCACCTTGCTTTCCAGAACTTGTTATGAAAAGATAACAATACAAACAATAAGCAGCATCCTTCTCTACACTGTACTCCAACCAACTACCGAACTCTTTAAACCACGAAGGATTGAATCGTCTAATTGTTACTCCAAATTGTCGTTTTGGAAAGTCATGATCTTGGGGCTGACAAGGACCCTTTAACATATATGCTCTTTGAAGTTCATCTCGAATGTTAACATTGTAATCCAAAATGGGTATCCTTAGACCAGGATCAGTTGGAAGTTTTGTGACATCAAACTCCACATTATTCGATACCCCCTCATTAACATCCACATTATTCGATATCCCCTCATCAACACTATCTACGTTCCTTTTTCATTGAAAGTATCTATTCATCTGACATCTGGATTTAAACATTTGATATCCAATTATTACTTGAAGTGAGTGAGAATAATTCATAATAACAAAAGGATCATAAATTCACAATTTCACAATTTCAATTCGCAAGTGTAATTCACATTTCACAATCCAATTCACAATTTCACATTATCAATCCAATTTCACAATATCAATTCACTTTCCAATTCGCAATTTCACAATGCAATTTATACTATTTCACAATCCAATTCACAATTTCACATTATCAATCCAATTTCAAAATGGTAAAGCATGTAACATGAAAAGTTAGGAGAAGGAACTAGGATTTGCTACCATAGTTAATCCAACATGTGTAGGGTCTATTGTATCATTTAAGATTCTATCTCAAGGAAAAATTATTTATTTATCCTCTAAAACACAAAAGATGGGTTGATTCAAAGTACTTTCAAATGCTACTAGCTTTCCTACTTTTCAAACCTACGCCAGAGTCAATGCCAAGTAGCCACCTTCAGAATGATGATTAAAGACATCAATGCAGTCTTCATCATCCATTCCAATCTTTCTAATCAAATCAGTTAAACAGGATTAGGTATGTCATTCCATAATCAAATAATCATGGTGCAAGAATATTCAAGGAAATATAATTTGTAGTGCTAGCAAAAGGCATATAGTACTTTTCTTTGGGATACAAATTGAAAAATCCATTGAACAAAGCAAACTTTCTCCAAAGAATAAATTTCATAATGGTAACTAGTTGACAATTTTCTCAAATAGTGTATTAAAGAAACTCATTAGAAGAGTTATGGAGGCAAATAATCTCAAAATATTGTCTGCGTTAAAAGAAACCTTTAGAGGACTTGTGAACTACTAGAAGATGATGGAAAGCACAGATGGTCATGAAAAGAAATTTACCTTGTCCAGGGTATCTTAACATCGAAGTTTTATTCCCATCGTACACGAACCTCATAACTTGTACTCCAAATTATTTCCTTCACAGACTTCGTATTTTACTGTTATGTCTCAATTGATAGTTGACTTCATCTCCATCCTACCATACCAAAAGCAAAATGATGCCAAGATAAAATTGTTACACAAAAAACAATTGAGCATACTACATACATATATTATGGTGCTTATTGACAATTAATGTAAACAAGATACCAAAAAGTAGTTCTTATACACATTTTGCCGATTTTATTTCTTCCCGTTTTATCCAGCATAGCTTTATTCAGGCTTTCTTTCTCTTAAACGGAGCTTAAGCAAGAATGTCATCAATCATCATCCCATTATACACATGAATATATTATAACAAGAAATAGTCCAAAAATCCTTTTTGTCTCACTAAAAATTCCCGATTGGAAATCACAGAACAGCAGGCACGATTTGGGTATATGTGTTTTTCATATAGTGTGCAATTTTGCTACAAGAAATTGGAGGTTGAAATTGAAAATTAAATCGAAATAGAAATCACCTTCTTCGTTCTTCTGGGCTCCGGCAGCTTCGGGCTTCTCCAGACTCCAATCTCTAGTGAATTGGTATGACAGTAACTATCAGTTCTTCTTCTTTGCGGCAGTTGGCACTTGGCGGTGGACGAGAACTACAGTCTAGAAGTCGGCGACTGCAAGTTGGAGTGGCTGGAGAGATTGCGAGAAGCAGCGAGGGTTGGCCGGTCGACACAGATGCGATTCAAGCTCAGCAAGGGTGAAGGGTTTGGTTTTGATTTGAATGAAATCGTTTTGATTTGAACGAAACCGGGTCTGGGTTATAAACGGGTCATGGGCTAGGGCAATTGGGCTTTTTTGACATTGATCCAGGCTTTTATATATATATATATATATATTACGAAAAGAATCAGAATCAGAAGAAGAACTTAATTTAATGAATAATGTAATTATAGAATGTATACATAATTGGCAAAAATACAAAGGAGCAGATAATATAGCTTGTTACTTATGTAATTGGTATCCAGTAAGAAAGCTTAGAGCTAAATGTCTAGAATGTTATAAAGAAACATGTATAAAATGCTTAGAAGAAAAGAATATTATTGAAAAAGAAGAAGTCAATTCAGAAATTGTAAAAGAAAGAGTTGAAATATCAGAAATAAAAATTCTTAGAAAAAGAATTGAAAGCATAGAAGAAATTATAGATCCTCAACAAGATTATCTAAGATTTCAGACTAATGGATTAAGAATTCTTAACCCAGAAATATTATATAATAGAGGAATTTTTGAAACAAGAACACAATTTTTTAGACACAGTAGAGAAGTATCTGTTCAATGTATAGGAAATCAAAATAAAAATAAATTAATATTTCATTCATAACTTACAAGTGCTATCAACTTATTTATTGCTCGATTCTATTTAATTAATAAAAATAAACTAAAATTTTGTTCATAAATATATTTTATAACTATCCATATTATGTACTACCAAGTACCTAGTCAAATCTTAGTAGGTTTAATTGCAAATTCCAATCTTTGGTTTACTTTGGATCCAAATGGGATTTTAAATACGGCAATTCCCGTTGTATAGGAGAATATATTGTTGCCAGAATTGTATGGTTACTTCTCTCTTCCCCCTTTTTTATTTTTATTTTTTAATACTTTTCCGGGTGCTACCACATGTTCCCCGTAAAAGATCTGGCAAAAAATAAAGTTCACCAAGCAGTGCTCTTTTAAACATTTGTGTTTGACGTCCTTTTCAGATTTCAAAGGCCGTAACGAATTCTTCTAGAGTTGAGTTGACTTTGTTTATATGGTTGAAAAAAATCAAATTGCTTTGTAAGTGGACAATTATTTTTATGCAATTAATTAAGTATAATTAATTTAACTAATCATTGCGGACGTATTCAAACTTTAACTGGTGTAGCCTTGGAATATTCCAACCATTAAGGTTATGACTTGGGCAAGAGCATGATTCGCCAAGTTAATTTTGCTTCTAGACGTGTTTAGACACATAATTTTTTGTTATTTATAAATAAAATTTACATATTTGACAATAAAGTATGAATTAACTCTAAAATAAGTAATTTACTGTAGCTTAGACCACCAAAAAACCTTACATATTTACGTAGAATTTTGAACTTAGCCAAACATTCACTCGAATGGAAAGAATTGGAGAACTTTCACTGTTGGTCACCTAACTCAAAGGTTTGTTCATGTTGGTCATCCAACTTAATAGTTTTCTTTCATTTTGACCATTCTATATTTCTGACCTGGCCAATCGAATTTCTAGATTTGGCAACACAATTCTTTTTGGGATCTACAAACACAAATTCTATAATTTTCTTGTTATAGAAAAGCAAGTATTTTATGGTGATAGATGATACTATAGATATTGGGCCTATCTCATTTCCACTTAATAAGTAGTTAAGTCAAGAGTTCTACAATAATTGTTACGTATAGAATAGTCAAATTGTTATCAAGAAAATTAGGTCGTGGAATGGGGGGAAAATGAAAGGAAAAACTCTATTTGTCGATGGAAGATAATGGAAAATGACATAGAAAACTGACTTCTTAGCTTGTTCGATGCAACCTCAACCATTTATTTCCAAACCATTTAGCAATGGGAAGTGGCTTTGTCATCATGTTAGTAGGATTCTCCTTGGTATCAACCTTACTCACTTCAATGTCACCACAAGCAATTACTTCACGCACAAAATGATACATCACATCAATGTGTTTAGTCCTCTCATGGAACATCTCATCCTTAGTCAGAAATATAGTACTCTGGTTCTCACAATACACTGTAGATATCTGCAAGTTTTCACTGATTTCACCAATTAATCATCTCAGCCACATAGCCTTCTTACAAGTTTCAGTAATGGCCATATACTCTGTCTCTGTTGTAGACAAAGCTACTGTATTTTGTAAAGTAGCTTTCCAGCTGATAGCACAGCCTCCAAAGGTAAACACATAACCTATGAGTGATCTCATTTTGTCAAGATCTCTTGCATAATCTAAATCCACATATCCGATGACTCCTTCTGAATTTCTTCCAAAATGCAAGCAAGCATTTGTAGAGCCTTTCAAGTATTTGAGGATCCACTCTACTGCTTTCCAATGTTCCTTTTCAGGATTTGCCATGTATCTGTTAACTGCACTGACTGCATGTGCTAAATCAGGTCTTGTACAAACCATAGTATACATCAGCGAACCAACTGCACTGTAATAAGGAACCCTAAACATATATTCAATGTCTTCATCTGATTGCGCACACAAGTCTGTTGATAATTTGAAATGTGCAACCAAGGGTGTACTAACAGCCTTTGCATTCTGCATATTAAATCTCTAAAGTACCTTCTCAATGTACCCTTTCTGACTTAAGTATAATCTGCCAGACTTTTTATCCCCCAAGATTTCCATTCCAAGGATTTTCTTTGCTACTTCCAAATCCTTCATTTCAAACTCTTTACTCAGCTAAGACTTCACTTTTTTGACCTCAGCTTTATCTTTAGCTGCTATAAGCATATCATCAACATACAACAGCAACTATGAAACCAATCCACTACTTTCCTTCCTGGAGTACACACAACTATCATAGTTATACCTTTCAAAACCATAAGTAGTCATGAATGAATCGAACCGCTTATACCACTGCCTCGGTGACTACTTCAGTCCAAACAAGGACTTCTTTAACAAGCAAACATAGTCTTCTTTTCTAGAGACTATAATCCTTTCTAGCTGTTGCATGTAGATGCTCTAACGTCTACCTGTTCAAGCTCCAAATCATTCTTTGCTACAATCCCAAGTAAGGCCCGAATTGAACTGTACTTTACAATTGGGGAGAACACATCTGTAAAGTCAACACCTGGAATCTGACTGTAACCTTTTGCTACCAATTTAGCCTTAAACCTGGTATCTTCAATCCCTGATATCTTCAATCCCTGATGTCCCTTCTTTCTTTTTAAACACCCACTTACAGCGAACAACCCTTTTGTCCTTAGGTAATTTCACAAAGTCCCAAGTGCTGTTTTTATCAAAAGACTCCATCTCCTCCTGCATTGCAATCAACCATTTGCCAAGATCACTGCAACTGATTGACTCTGTATATGTAGCAGGTTCCTGAATAGAATCAATATCTTCAACCACACTCAAAGCATAAGCAACCAAATCTGCCTCTCCATATCTCTGTAAAGGTTTAATTTGTCTACGAGGTCTGTATCTTGCAATCGAATACTGTGGTGCTGGTGCTAGTGCTGGTGTAGACAAGGTAGACAAAGTCTTACTGTCTGTCTCCTCTGAACTAGACTGCTCTGTAACCTCTGACTGTTCCCCGGGGCAAATTTCAAACTCCACCTAAGTTGAATAACTCTATTATCCAGATTTACCAGAATCCACAAGAGGTCTTCCACGAATCATAGCAAGTTCGTTAAACACTACATCCCTACTAATCACCACTTTTTTTTTCTTTTTTTGGTCACCACAACTTATAACCTTTCACTCCGGATTTATATCCAAGAAAGATGCACTTTCGAGACCTAGGCTCCAATTTCCCATTATTTACATGAGCATACGCAGGACAACTAAAGATCTTCAAATCAGTGTAACGAG